GCGTCAGTCTCAACCCGCATGGGCCTGCCGGGATTCACGTGTAGCAGCTGGTCTTCGGACGCGAAGAGGCTCTTAAGTCTCCTGAAGGACTGCTCCGCCTGGTCCGTCCAGGTGAACTTTTTCTTCTTGGAACTGAGGGTGTCCGTGATAGCTGCCGTCTCTTTCGCGAAACCCCTGATGAACTTGCGGTAAAAGTTGGCGAAGCCGACGAACCTCTGGACCTCCTTCCGATTGCGCGGGCTATTCCAGTCCAACACCGCGCGGACTTTGGCGCTGTCCATGGCTAGTCCCTTGTCGGACAGCCGGTAGCCCAGGAAATCCACCTCCGTCACGTCGAACTGGCACTTCTCCAGTTTGGCGTAGAGTCTGTGCTCCCGTAGCCTCTGCAGGACCTCCTTTACGTCTCTCTCGTGAGTCTCCTGCGATTCTGAGAAGATCAGAATGTCGTCGAGGAAGCATACGCACTTCTTGTAGAGGAGTCCTGCTAGCACGTGGTGCATGAATGCTTGGAAACAGTGGGAGCCATTTTGGAGACCAAACGGCATAACTCTGTATTCATAGGTGCCCAGCGGCGTGAACATGGCCGTCTTCCACTCGTCACCTTCCCTCATGCGTATTAGATTGTATGCTCCGCGTAGATCCAACTTGGTGAAGATCCTCCCCTTCCTCACCGTCGCGAGCAGGTCGTCAATCTTGGGCATGGGGAAGGCCTTGGGCTTTGTCATCGAGTTTATGGCCCTATAGTCCACAATGAGCCGTTTTTGGGGCGTGTCCTTCTTCTTCACGAAAAACACAGGACTGCCCCCCACTGCCTTGGATTCTCGGATGAATCCCCGCTTCAAATTGTGATCTATGAACTCCCTGAGTTCCTGCATCTCATCTTCAGACATGGAATACAGCTTCGCAGTCGGTAGCGTCGCCCCTGGTAAGAGGTCAATTGCACAGTCGTAGGGCCGGTGGGGTGGTAATTGGTCAGCTTCCTTTTCGCAGAAGACCTCCAAAAACCCCTTGTACTTGTGGGGCACTGCCTGCACCATGCCTAGATGCAACTGTTGCCCTTCCTCCTGGCCCTCCTCCTCCTGGCCGGTCTGGATGCAATGTTGTGCGCAGTAGGACGAGCCAAAGGTGAGCTGCCGCTGGTACCACGCTAATGATGGGCTGTGTCTATCCAGCCAACTCATGCCTAACACTATAGGCGTGTCTGACAGTTGGGTGACATTGAAACTGATGACCTCGCGATGATTCCCAATTTTCAGCAGCATGGGTGGCGTCTGTTGTACCACTTGCCCACCCAGCAACTTCCTGCCATCTACCGTGACGACGTTCAGAGGCAGCGTGGCTGGTAGTAGCGCTATGCGATGCTGCTTGATGAACTGCATCCCCACGAAGTCTGCGTTGCTCCCTGAGTCAATCGTAATGGGGACTTCCAGGGTGAGTCCATTAGGTAGCTGGAGAGTAGCAGTGAGCTGCACCACTGGCTTGGGTGGTAAGGGGTCTGTAGGCTGCAAAAGCGCTGGGGACTGCTTCACTGACTTGCCTGGCGGAGCCCCAGCATCTCTGCTTCCAGCCAGGCATTCTCGTTTCCCTGAAACTGTTCTCCTTGGAACGCTTCCCCTGTTACTGTTGCTAAGGCTGCAGTGTGCTTCTGGAGCCTCTGGGGACACTCTTTAGCCATGTGCTGTGCACTGTCACAGATGTAACACTTCCTGGTCCCTCTAGGAGGCTTCGCCTTGACTGCTCCGGACGCTGAGGCTCCGGCAGCTGTCTGAGCCTTTGCACCACCCAGCTCCATTGGTTCTTCCCCCCCCTTCAGCATAGGCGAGGGATTTGTACGTCCCAGGTCCCTGGGAAGAAAAGGAGGCGCTCTAGCTGGTGGGCGGACGTGACGCCCCTCCTCACTGTGCCAAGGGCGTTCTTCGTGGCGCACCCCTATCGTGAGTGCCCTCTGCACGACGTCTGCTAGGGTTTGAGGTCTGTCTCCCTAGCCAGCTCATCTTTTACTGAGCCATGAAGCCCTCCCAGAACAAGTCTCTCACTGCCAGGGAGTCCTTTTCCCAGCCCAGCACATTCAGCAATGCAAAAGCGAGAATGGTACTGACGCACTGTAGCCTTGCCCTGCCGCAATCCATGCATCTCCTGGCGCGCCACATCAACGTCAACGGTAGATTGGAAGCAAGCGTCCATGGCTTTGATAAATTCGTCAGAGTCCCTGCGGGCAAGACCATCTTCGCGCCACAAATTGCGTAACCAGGTTCTAGCTTCCCCCATGCAAATGGGACACAATAAAGCCTACTTTCTCCTCCTCATCTTTGAAGTCTTTTCGAAGCAAATGCAGCGCGTATACGACGTCTGCTCTGAAAGTGGGATAATGCTTCAGGTTCCCATCGAAGTGGGCTACTAAATTGCCCCCCCTCCGTCCGAGTCCGATTCCCTCTGATCTGGACCCCGGGAACCCCTCTTTGCACGCCTGATCCCACCTGGCTTGCAGATCCTGGCATCGCGCTTCTGCGTCGGCAACTGTCTTCTGAGAGACCCGTACTGCAACGGAGAGTTCAGTAACTGCGTTTTGCAGGGTCGTTATCTGTTCCTCAGTAGTCATGTCTGCCAAACTCCGTGAGCTTTGCAAAAAAAAACTCTTTGCGGTTTTTTTGAGAGGGGACTTACTGTCAGGGCTGCCTCAAGTCTCAGCTCACAAAAGACCAACGCCTATCTCTTCTTATATACAAAAGTGTTTATTGCAGTTCATTGTTTGCTTCACATCCGAGGCGCGCAGCCCTACGTCTCCTACGCTTAGACCGCTGAAGTCCCCTCTGAATCCGTCCCTCCCCTGCACCAGTTTAAGAGGCTTGCGCTGCTCCACCTCTTTCTCTCTTTCCTTTTCCGCAGGGTCCTTCTGCCCGCTGGGGTTTCGCCCCTCCTGGATTCCTCTGACGCGGAATCCAGACTGCTCTTGCCCCCTCCTGCGGGCTTTGGGACCTGGCCCTTCCTCCGGGCTCCCTGTACTTCCGCGCGCCTCTACATTTGAACTTGGCGCGCGCGCCCAACCTCTAACCTTCCTTTTGACAGTTACACTACTCCCTTCACTACTCCCCTCCCCTTCCGGGAGGGTGGCTTGCTCTGACCTCCCTCCCTTCTCTGCTGCCGGAGCTGCTTCCCCTGATACACTGGAAACCTCCACCCCCTTCGCTGCACTCTGGTGGGAGGCTGGTCCTGACGCCCAGCTGCCACTTTGGGATCCCCGCTGGCCCCCTGCTCCTGACACGTCCCCCTGGGGCTCCCTGGCCTTGACCACCGGCGCCCCTTCTGGGAATCCTCTGATTCGCTGGAAAGACTCATGGAATCTCTTGAGTCATTGTCATCCTCTTCCTCGCTGGCCTGGGATTCATCCCCATCGCTCTCCATCTCCTGCCTACCCTGTGCCTCTGTCCCTGAACCCCTGACAAATGATATCCTTCCTAACTTGCGTTAGCAAGTTCTATATTTTAGCAGAGTTTAAACATTCCACTTTAAACGCACAGCAGTTTGCTTACTGCAGGCTCGTCTGAGCCTCTCTATTTAAGATTCCTGGTAAGATCCCTTATTGACCCTCTTAAAAAGAATAGACACAACAATATTATTAAAGTCAATATAAAAGTAGTTTATTCACTTCATTCAGTTCACAGTTGGATCCCTGAAGGCAGACTTAGGTTACAAAAGTATATATATGTGTGTGTGCGCGCGCGTGTGTGGAACTATCCCATAAGGGAGTTAGTCCCAAGTGACTGCGAACACGCAGTCACTTTTGCTCGCACGTAAAGAAACAAAAATGGAGAAGAAGCAACAGAAGGAGGTGTGCTCCTCTGTCCAGGTTAGGCCACGCTCACCTCTAGTCACATGCAGAGGAAGTTTGTCCCAGCTCAGGAGGAAACAGGAAGTTTTCTCCTGACTGGTACAAATCATCCCCTAGCATGTCCATTCTAGGAATGTTGTACTTGACTATGTGTTTCACATCCCACAGAACGTTCCTGATTTAAAGAAGCCGTCCTGGTTTCTGATTTGATCTTGGAGTGTCACACTTTTCCTTAGGACGCCCTTATTTTCACTGAAGAAATGTTGGAGGGGATGGAGTTATCCGACCCCTGAGCCATCTGAAGGCAATCCTCTATAGGGAAGTTTGTTTAATGTTTTATGATGTTTTTATGTATGTTGGAAGCTGCCCAGAGTGGCTGGGGCAACCCAGTAAGATGTGTGGGGTATGAATAGTACAACTATCATTATGGAATGGGAAGTCCCTATTTTCATCGAAGAAATGTTGGAGAGCATGTGGTTGTAAGCATTAACATGCTCTGGTTTGGTTTTTTAATCTGCGAAGCAATGAATGATATTCCTAGGCTGGCATGCCTCACAGCCAGTTCCCAGCACTGACCCCACCCCAGCCCCATGGAAACAAACAAAACAAGCTGGCTTCTGTTAACAAGTCATCAATTAAGGATTAAAGTTCAGCTTTGGTGTGGCTTTGGAATACAAAGATCCCACCCTTATCTGCCAGCCAGCAGCCCTCAATTAGCACACTGGGGCGCTGCCCTTGGTATTTAGCTGGGTCAGAAGTCTTTGAAAGCCACCTGGAAGGAGTCTGTCCCTAGGTTCCGAACTATTTGAGCTGATAGGCAGAGGGCTCCTCAGTCTAAGGGGTCTCTGGCTTTGTGGTATGGGGGTTCTCAGTCAGAATCCCAAAGCAGGGGAGCTGCCAAAGAAACCATCTCAAAGGCAGTAAAAAAGAGAGGAGAGGTGCTTTTGCTTCCCGCCATTGATTTGCGGCCAGATGGCCGCATGGCAGAATGTGGGATTTGCTACGAGGCCTACAAGGAGGCTTCGAGTGGGCGAGTGCCGAAGTTGCTGTGGTGCTGCCACTCACTCTGCCTGGCCTGCCTGAGGAAATTGGTTTGCCAGAACACGGCCTTCTCTATTTTGCTGCATGGTGACCCTTGTGCCGGAAGTGGGGCTCCAGGCCTTGAGGAACGATGAAGCCCTTCTGTGTGAGATGGCTCCCCAGAAAGAGCCAAAGCTGGAGGACAGAGAGGAACCGGGAGGCAGCAAAGACTCCCCGGGGTGCCTTGGACCTGCCTCTCAGTGACTCAGTCCTGACTCTGGACGTGGAGTTAAACTACCAGACCGGCTCTCCTGTCTTCACTGTCAGTGGCATTGTGCCAGTGTATTCAGCAACGGGTTTCCATTCAGGGCCGAGCTTCCGGAGTTGGTTCCATGTGCAGGAAGTGCAGAACCCTGTCTTGGTGGAGCTTCCCCACAGAGCCTCCTCCCGAGACTCTGAGGCTCCTGCGTCTGTGCAGAACTTGAGGTTTTGCTTCTCTGTGACCATCATTCTCCTCATTGTCTCAGTCTTCTTTGCGCTGGTCTTCTTCAAGTAGGGAGGCTGGGAAGGCAGCCTGGGGAAGACATGTTCTCTGCCAAGAGGAAGAGGCACTTTGTGGGTCTTAGTACACAGAGACAATTCTCCCCAGAGATGCCTGCATGGTACCATATTTTCATCTCTTCAGGTGCCAGGCAAAATCGTTCCTTTTTAACCAGGCCTTTGGCTTTTAACTATCAATGGCTCAATGGTTTAATGTACTGTATTTTTCTTTCCCCCCTGGTTTTAACGTACATATAGGGTTTTTATTCAAGGCATTTTCTAAGCTGCTCTGAGTTGCCAAAAGGAGAGGGATACATTTAATTAGTAAAAATAAAAATAGTAATTTAGGCATCTGTATGCAGCTTTCCAGCAACATTTTTTTTTTTAATCCAATGCTTTCTCATGATAGTGGTTTGGACTTACTTGGAGGTTTAGAGAAGTTTTATCTTTTTTTTTTTTTAATATAATATTTATTGGTTTTACAAAAAAAAAATAAAAAAAAATAAAAAAAATCCAAAGACAAAAAACAACAATAACAATGACAAAAAGAAAACAAAAGATAACAATAACCATAAGAAAGAAAAAACAGAAAAATTTAAAAATTTATACTTTCATTTAACCTTCTTATCTTTCCTTAGTTCTTTGACTTCCCCGCACCTCCCCACTTGTATTTCCATTTAAAAATAGATATTTTTACAACCTTATCTGTCAGGGAACTGCCATCGGAAGGAAGGGAGGTGAAAGGGCTCACACAGGTTGGGAGAGACTCAGCAGCTGAAGAGGGAACCAGTAGGGGGAGAGGAGCTGAGCTGAGGGAAAGTGAGCTGGAGGGATGGCTCAGAGACACTTCCAGCGAAAACAGTGGGGAGGTTTCAGGACCTCCTGTAGGGACACCCACTCCTCGCCGGAAACTGACACGCAGAGAGTCCAGAAGACGTGTTTCCGTTAAGGAGCTTTTATGTTGGAAGCGATTCCGAAGCAACCACTGTCGGAATCTGCTAGTGACTAGAGGAGCCATGTCTGAGGGGCTCCGTCACAGACAGAGGTTTGTGGACTTGAACAAACTCTGAGGGGATACGATTTTACGCACAAGCAGCTCATCATCCCATCACAGCATTCCGACAGTCTTTGAAAGCAGCTTGTGCAGGAGAAGGCATCATGAGCAACCCAGCCGGAACCGGAGAAGCAGGAGCTGGAGCGGGTCCAAGCCTGGAAGAAAGGTACCGGGTGTTGGAGGTCCAGCTAGCGCTGCAGACGGCGAGGCTTGAGGAGAGGAGGGCTCAGGATGCAGACAAAAGGGAAAGCCACCCAGCTCGCCAGAAAGGTACCAGGATTGGTGCAGAAGTTTGGGGGGGAGCCCAAAGACTATCATGGCTTTCGGACAGAGATGCAATATGCCCTCAATCTGCAGTTTGATGAATTCCCTGACGAGGAATCACGAGTGGCTTTCGTGATTGAGCATCTTGAAAAGGGCGAGAGACTGGGTTAGACCCCTGATGGCAGCGAATAGTGACGTCCTAAAGGACACGATGAAGTTCTTTCGCGCCATGGATCTGATGTTTTCCAGCGATATTGAACAGGGAGTGGTGCGCAGACAGTTAATGGCTTGCAAACAGGGGAGCCGATCTGTCCGTGAGTACTGGACTGAGTTCACCATGCTGGTTCACAGATTGGGGTGGGACTTATCGGCGGAACCCATTCAAATGCTCTTTGAAGAAGGGCTTTCTTCGGCTGTGAAAGACGAACTTTCCCGGGCGCCCAGGGCGGAGTCTATGGACCAGCTGACCAAATCAGCGCTGACCATAGGAGCGCGCCAGGAGGCGCGAGCATGGGAGAGGCGGGAAGGGAGGGGGGAACGTTGGAAGGCGTTCCGCATTCCGGACTTTCCCGAGCCACCGTGCCCGCCGGCAGGGCCGATGGAAATCGGAACAGCGTGCGCGCGCAGTTTCAAAGCCCAGTGAGAGGGGAAAGAAGGAGGGAAAAGGCGCCCGGAAATGCTATCTCTGCCAACAGCCAGGTCACTTTGCCAGAGTCTGCCCCCAGAGGAAGGAATGGCAAGGGATGGTAGGAGCTGTGGAGGGAGAGAGGAAGAAATACCGGAGCAAGTAAAAGCCAACGCCTGGCTGCCACTGTCGGGGCACAGCAGCCAGGCCAAAGAGCAGTGAGAGTGCCCACGCCAGAACCTCCTAAACCCGCCCTAGTGATAGAAGTGGCGCTAGAGCTGCCAAACGGACACCCTCTAAAGATAAAGGCGCTGTTGGACTCAGGCAGCTCCTGCAATTTCATGAGCAAAGAGTTTGCAGCTGAACACCAGATACAGACGATCCCTTTAAGCAACCCCTGCAGGTGACCACGATCGATGGCAGGGAGCTGTTGGGAGGAGAAGTCAGCTTGCAGACCGTCCCAATGATAATGAAGGTAGCAAGGCACACCGAACTGATAGCGTTTAATGTGGCCACCTTGGGAGGAGCTCCCATTATATTGGGGATGAGCTGGCTAGCGTTACATGATCCGCTGGTGGGCTGGCATCAGAGAGTGGTTTCTTTTGGTTCAGCACATTGCTTAGAACACTGCAAAGAGGGAAAGGGTTTGGCAGGGGCCCAAGCCACCCTAGCAGGGACTGAAGTAACGGAGAACGTGAAGGTACCACGACAATACGCAGATCTCCGCGACGTCTTCAGCGAAAGGAAAGCTGACCAACTACCCCCGCATAGACCCTTTGACTGTCAAATCAATTTACTCCCTGGGGCACAGCTCCCTGTAGGCAAGCTGTACGCCATGTCAGACAGAGAGATGCAGGAGCTAAGAGAGTTCATTGACAAGAACCTGAAGAGAGGGTTCATCAGAGAGTCCAGGGCGGTGGGGGCAGCCCAGTGTTTTTGTGGATAAAAAAACACGAACAAGCCGAGGCTGGTGTGTGACTTCAGGGCCTTAAATGCAGTGTCAGAACCAGTGGCCTTCCCTATGCCCAGGATTGACGACATTTTGACAAGGGTGCGGAAGGGAAAGATTTTCACAAAGCTGGACCTAAGGGGGGCGTACAACCTGATACTAATAAGGAAGGGGGATGAATGGAAAACCACCATGTTCACCCCTTTAGGGGCATTTGAATACTTAGTTATGCCCTTCGGTCTACAAGCAGGCTCCGCAACATTTCAATCGTTTATGAACCACGTCCTGGGGCCTTTGCTTTACAAGAATTGTGTGGCCTTCTTAGACGACGTGTTGGTGTATTCTGAGAATGAGGAGCAGCATGTGAGAGACGTCAGAGAAGTGTTGAGCAGGCTGCAAGCCAACCAGCTGTGGGTGAAACTGGAGAAGTGTCAGTTTCATACCAAGGAGGTGGAATTCCTGGGGTATCGCCTGTCAGACAAGGGATTGGCCATGGATCCCGGCAAGGTCCAGGCGGTGCTGGAATGGAAAACACCCAAAACAAGGAAGGATGTGCAGAGGTTCCTAGGATTTGGGAACTTCTATCGTAAGTTCATCCGAAACTTTGCCCACCTGACGGCGCCCATTACGGACTGTCTCAGCAGTAAGAAGAAGTTCGTTTGGACTGAGGAGGCGGAGCGAGCATTTGAGGAACTAAAAGGGCCTTCGCCTCGGAACAACAACTCCTGCATGTGGATTTACAAAAACCGATGAGAGTGGAAACTGACGCATCAGACAGAGCGATTGGGGCGGTGCTTCTGCAGCCAGGGAAGGAGGAGTCAGAGTGGAGACCGTGTAAGCTGAACAAATCCGAGAGGAACTACACGGTGTATGACCGAGAACTACTAGCCATTCATGAGGCGTTCCGGAGATGGAGGCACCTGCTAATTGGCGCACAACATAAGGTGCAAGTGTGCACTGACCACAAGAACCTAGAGTATTGGAGGACGGCACGAGTGCTCAACCAACGGCAAGTGAGATGGGCCCAGGAGTTCTCCAAATTTAACTTTGAGATTTGTTACGTGCCAGGCCCAGAGAACATTAGGGCGGACGCTCTCTCACGCAAACCTGAATATTTGGAGGGGAGGAGCACCCGAAGAGAGACATGTCATTCCAGAGGACCGCTGGGTGTGTGGGGCGGCATTGGTGGGACAAAGAGAACTGGTAGAGGAAACAGAGAATGATGAATACGCCCAGAATAAGCTCAGAGGTCTTAGGGGTGAGGAGAGGAACCAGGGGTTTCGAGGAAAGAAATGGAGCTTTGTATTACAAAGGGGCACTGTATATCCCTGAAGGAGACTTAAGGGGAGGGTACTCAAGCAGTTGCACGACAGCCCTACGGCGGGGCATTTTGGACAACACAAAACCATGTGGTTGGTCACCAGGGAATTTTGGTGGCCCAAGGTGAGGAAGATGTACGTGAGTATGTAAGAGGGTGCGAGCAATGCCAGCGAGCCAAAGGGAAAGGCGGGCGCCGGCGGGCTGTGAGAACCCTTACCAACCCCAGAACGACCTTGGGAGGCAGTGTCGATAGATTTTATGACTGATCTGCCGAAGTCCAAAGGGAAAACAGCCATCATGGTGGTGGTGGACCTACTAACAAAGATGTGCCACTTTGTAGCTTGCTCGCATGCAGTCACGGCGGAAGAGACAGCGAAGTTATTTGTAGAACACATTTTTAGGTTGCACGGGGTGCCATTGAGGGTGGTCTCAGACCGAGGAAAACAATTTACTTCCAGGTTCTGGAGGAAGCTCATGAGCTTACTGCAGGTGGAGGTCAACTTTTCGACTGCCCGGCACCCTGAAACCAACGGGCAGGCGGAAAGAGCAAACGGTGTCCTCCAGCAATACCTGAGGTGTTATGTCAATGACAGAGAGAATGACTGGGTAGAAAAGTTGGCGCTGGCGGATTTGCCTACAACAATGCCGAGAATGTGTCCACAGGGATGAGCCCCTTCTTGGCTAATTATGGGTGTCATCCCAGGGCTTTCCCAGGGGGGGGGGGGGGAGATGGAGCGTCCCGGCAGCCGAGCATTTTGTAGAAGAAATGGAAGCAATCCATGGTCAGCTCCAACTCAACTTAGA